AAGATTTTTATTTCAAAAATATTGGACAGACATAAACATGCAAACATAAATGCATAACAGGGAAGTTCATTGTCTCGTTTTTCTTTCGATATAATTATTTGATCTCATTCTGTAGCTAGTAGTTTCACTTCTTACACCTAATAATGTTAATATAGTCTTTTTGCTTGCAAGTATATATGTTCTTTTGTTCTTTTTGCAAGTATATATGTTCTTTTGTTCTTCTTATTTTGATTGTAAGTCTAGGAGTTTTATATGTTATGTTCCTGTATCCTATGCGCCACTGATGATGTGGCCAGGGCCTTCCTCTTTCTCCTGTTAAGTCCCTCCCCCCATCCCCCGCTAGTTGCCAGAAGGGATCTGGCAACCCTGTGGCATTTGCTGTCACAGTCTGCGGTGATCTGGGATCCCAGGAACGTGAAGTCTGTCACTACTTCCACGACTTCCCCTTCTATTTGCCAAGGAGTGATGGGGCCAGATGCCATGATCTTAGTTTTTTTTATGTTGAGCTTCAAGCCCACTTTTGCGCTCTCCTCTTTCACTCTGAGCAAGAGGCTCTTTAGACACCAACGGAATTTTCCTGGGTGCAAGCTTTCTGACTCACAAAAGCTGGTACCCTGGGAAATCTGGTCTTTTAAAGTGCTGCTGGGCTTGCATCTTGTTCCACCCACTGCAGGCATCAGCAGCTTCACGTAACTAGCAACCAATCTGTTTCTTGCTTCTCTTTGACTTTTACATCATTACATTTCACCCAGAGCTACCTGCCTTTCCTGAGCCTTTGACCCTGCTGTTTGTCTTCCCACACTTCCTACACAGTGACGATCCACTCTTTGCAAATGACCAAGCAGGCTCTAGTCCATAAAGCAGCAGACTAAAATCTTGACATTCTTTTAAAGCACCACAACCTGTTTCTTTTATTTCTGTCCGCCACTGGACTGCCATGTCCAGTCCTCTGTAATGGAATTAAAAAAAAACACACACAATAAAAAGGCGACCTAAACAAACTAAAGTTCCAGTCCAGGGGCACCTTTAAGACCAACAAAGTTTTATTCAAAGTATAAGCTTTTGTGTGTACACACACTGCTTCAGATACATTTTTTCAACGCATCTGAAGAAGTGTGCATGCACCCAGAAGCCAGCTTATACCTTGAACTAAAACTTTCCTGGTCTTCCAAGGTGCCACTGGACTCGAACCCTTTTTTCTGCTGCTGTAACACAACTACCCATCTGAGTCCTAAACAAAGTCACGGCTTTCTAGGGCCATTGATTGACCTCAACGGCTTTACAAGGGCATAACTGTGCTTAGGTTCATACTGTGAAAGTTCTGCAATTTTGGACTAATTTAGAAGGAGCCAGAGTGCGGCTCCCTTTATGAAAACCTAGGTTCATAGATCACCCTGCACTGACGTGGAACTAATTAAGCAGCTGCCCCCCCCCAGTTGCTCCCCCAAGGCCACGCCCCCTACCCTATGACCTCATCTCCACCCACCCAATCCCAAAGCGCAATGTGGCTTCTCCGCGTGACTGGCCCTGCCCACTTATTCCCAAACCTCCCCTCCCCTCCCCTCCCCTCCCACTCTCCCCTTTGTCCCCTTTTCTCTTTTCCTCCCCCCCGGGGTTTGTTTGCATGGGCCGCGGAGTGGCAAATCCTGATTGGCGGTGTGCGGGCCGGCCAATCAGCGAGAGGCACCTCAGAGCAGCATTGGCGTTTTTAAAACTCCGCACCCACCCACCCCTTCCCTTGCGCAATCTCATTGAGGCACGGCGAGAGCTGGTGTGCGGGTTGATTGATAAACGCGCAAGCGCTCTGGTTGCGGCCCGGGTTGCTCTTCTACATTGCAAAAATAAATAAATAAATCAGCTGTGAATTTTAAAAAAAACAAAACACCCCACTTTTATTTTTTGCAAGGTTTTTAAGGACTGTGGCTTCTTCTTCTTTTTTGCTTGGGGCTTAAGAGACAGCTCCCGGGAAACAGGATTTGCAGCCGGGCCCCGTCGGAGTGGCCGGACGCGCCAGTCTATCCCTTTCCTTCCCCAGCCAATCAGAGAGGCGGGCTTCCAGAAGGCTCTCCTGCTGGGAAAGAGATCCCTCCGGGAGGCGCGAGGGGAGAGGGGGAGAAGGCGCCGCGGAGGACTCCTGCGAAGATGAGGACGGCGCGCCGAGTCTGCCTGCTGACCCTCCTCCTGGCGCTGGCCCAGCTCGCCCTCCTCGCCCGGGGCCAAGAAGAGGAGCCCGGGGCAGGTGAGTGGGGCGGGGGACGACTCAGGTGTGACTTGGTTGGGGAGGAAGAGGAGGCGAGGGAGGGGCTTCACCTCCCTTGGTACCTGAGAAGACTGGAGGGTCTTGAATGGGGTTGCGGGAACGAAGGGATTTCAGCGTGTTTAGCTGCAGGCAGGATAGGGCAGACTGTGTTCTGCACATCTATGGGCATTCGGTGGGAAGGGAACAGCGTTCCGTGCGCCTTGGTGTTTAGTCACGCCGGCCACGTGACCACGGAAACGTCTTCGGACAGCGCTGGCTCTTCGGCTTGGAAACGGAGATGAGCCCCGCAACCCTAGAGTCGGATTCGACTGGCTTTCGAGCAAGGGAACCTTTACCTTTGGCTATGGGCAGAGCATTGGTGCATTCGTCTGTGCACCTTTTTTATTTTTCACGGTGGGTGCAACCCGTCCTTTCCTGCAGTTGCGTTCTTCAGTTGCCCTAAGGGCCCTCCTTGCGTGGTTGGGTGCCTGGAGTTATCCGTTTTCGAAGCTCACCTGGCCAAGCGGTGTAGACGTGAATCGCAATGCTACCCCTAAGTTGTGGAGTCTTGTGAGCAAAATTTCTACTTTGTGAGCTACTGGCATGAAAGTTGGGAGCGAGTGATTTGGCGCCTGCCTCAATTAGTTTGCTCTGGAGCCCTCCCTTCCTGAGCTCAGACAAAACTGTGTGAGCCAGAGGCTAAAAAAACTGTGAGCTAGCTCACACTAACTCAGCTTAGAGAGAACACTGGCAGCAATGTTCCCTCTAAGCCGTGGAGTCTTGTGAGCTAAAATTCTACTTTGTGAGCTCCTGGCATTGAAGTTGTGAGCGGGCGATTTGGCTACTGCATAAATTAGTTTGCTCTGGAACCCTCCTTCCTGAGCGAAGACAAAAATGCGTGAGCCAGGGGCTAAAAAACTATGAGCTGGGTCACACTAACTCAGCTTAGAGGGAACACTGGCAGTAAGGTGTTTGATGTTGGGCCTACCGTGATCTGCAAGATCTTGGATAAAATCCCGTAGTAAGGCCTGTGGCTGTGCTGTAGGTGTGTCTGGACTCCGAGGACTGCTTGCCCCTCTTCAAAACTTCTATCAAGAGCAAAGGGAATTTTGCTAAGAACCGATGGAACCTCCATAACAATGGCAGTATATCTCCCCCCCCCCCCAAAGAGGGGAAGACTGTGGTTTCCGTTTCCCCAAGGCATCCTGCTAGGCACAGTGGAAATAGAATGCTGGCTATGGAGGATCTTTGGTCAGGAGAGGACAAGGTAGTTCTTATGTTTATATCAACTTGGAGAGGAAACCCTGGTGAGCTGTTTGATCCTGCTCTTATAATTGCTCTCCGGGATCTGAGATAAAATAGCCTTGCATGGCCATTTTATCTAAGATCCTGGCTTGTCACACTCTTTGTACCTGTGCCACCAGTGTGTTTCTTAATAAATGTACATTTTGGAGGTAGCCTTACATTCTGAGCTAAATGGTGCTGATTGTATGACCTTAGGGCTGGCGAATTAGAGCACTGTTTGCAAAATATTCATGCTGTTGATTTTTCCAGACCTTTCTGTGTACACAAGCCGACCACACTCACAGGTGATTTTGGTCGTGATTTGAAGAACTTAGTGCCAAATATCTCATGGCTGACTGTCTTTCACATCTCAAATAGGTGCTAGTTAAAGATTCAGTTGCATTATTTTAGAGGTTGCCTTGAAATTTTGTTTGGCAAGGTGCTGTAATATATATATATATACACACACAGTTTCAGTGGCCCAGTGTGCATAACCCCCCCAAACAGTATTTTTGTAAATAGAATTGTTTACTTCGACATTGAATGTACATCTAAATAAAACCCAAAACATCAAGAGGGAAACAGAAATGCACCTCACTTTGAAATATTGCAGTATAAAATCTACTTAGGTAGTTGTTCTTAGTCTGTTGTGGGTACCTTAAAGCAGGGCTATTTTTGGGCAGGAACGCACAGGAACGGAGTTCCGGCTGGCTCCCAAGTTGGCCACACCCAGCATGAACTCATTAGCATAATAGGCCACACCCAACAGCAGAAACGCATTAGAATTGGCTACAGTAGGGGTGTGTGACCTAACATGCAAAGGAGTTCCTGCTACAAAAAAAGGCCCTGGGTTTTGACCACAAACAAGGTCAACAGAATAAGAAGCAAAAGGTGGGCGTGGCTGGATGACCACACTTCTGGTACATGGGTGTGTGGCCTAATATGCTAATGAGCTGTGCTGTCAGGGCTGTGGCCTAATATGCTAATGAGTTTCTGCTGTTGGGTGTGGCCTATTATGCTAATGAGTTCCTGCTGGGCTTTTTCTACAAAAAAAGACTGGCCAGTTTACTGAAGGCTAAAGGTTGTCATCACAGCTTCATGAATTTTCTTTCCCCCTAAACTTGCATTGAATTCATGATAATTGACATTCATTGAAATCTTAGTAATTGTTAGATCTTTTGATCACCTGACTTGAGGATGGGTGGACTTTGCCGGGGGGGGGGGTGCTGCCAGTCCATTACCATAATACAATCTGTTTATTTAATTTTTTGGAAATAAATTGATTTTTTGACATTACGCTGTGTTGAGGATAGGATTGTGGAGACAAGCCTGTTTTACAGACCTGTCCTGGGCCCAGAGAACTAATGTTTGACTGGCCTTTGATATCCAAAAGCAGCATTGTGATGTTGCACCGATCCTATGTACAGGGTTTGCCCAAGGAAGTTTATGGTGGCATGTGTGTGCATGCAGTTTGACACAAATGAGTTATCTGGGGAGATTCTGTTTACATTCTTGTAACTGTACAGGTTTTAAACACACACAATTAAATCAGCCCAAGACATATAATCAGTTCAGCTCTCAAATGCACCTTGGGATCAAAGCCAGAAATGAAACTGGGAGTTACTTGTACCTGATCTAAAACAAGAATTGTTCTTCCATGAAATAATTCAGGGGTTCTCCTAGTACTCAGTTGCATTCCACTGATGATAGAAGATATGTTATTCTGAGGTTGCTGTTTTGTCCTGGGGTTGTGTATGAACTGTCGTAACAGTTCTGAAAAGCATACCTCTGCCAAAACCTTCTCAACACCAGCAAAAGGCTGCAAGCGCTTAGACGAGGCAAGGTCCTTACAAACTGTCAAATAAATGTCTTTTGGGGCTTACCTGTCTCCCATGATGATTGCAAAGGGGTGGCCATGTTAGTCTATTATAGCACAATCAAACAGCTGCCACTGATCAGTGGAACCTCTGTTCTGACTGGTTTTCATGCGAAGGATGGAGAAATTAGTCAGATGGCATGGTTTGAACAATAAAGGACATTTATCTCAGGCTTAATGTATGTCACCAACTAGTTTCCTGGTCTAGCACTGTTAGATGTTGTAACTCTGCATGCAAGAGGAACTGGGAGGGAAAGGCAGGGGTCATTTCCTGCAGGAGCGCACAGGAGCGGAGCTCCGGCAGTAAAGAGCCCAGGGGGCGGGCACATGCAACAAGCCCCACCCCCTGCTCCCAGCAGCCCTCAGTCAGAGCAAGAAGCAGCCAGGTAAGCTGCAGAGCCCCCC